CACATAGCATGCATTTCTTAATTGTGTGTCAAATTATTACCAGAAATCACACTGCATCACAATCAATGACTATTTAAACCTCTCATTGTGTTGGTGATAGATTGGGTTGAATGAAAGAAGAGACGCTGCAATTATTTGGCAATGAAAATATTTTTATTTATTCCTAAAAAATATTTATGATACATTTTGCAAAATTTTGTTGACAGTAAAAGTGTAAAGTTTTTTGTTCTTTTCATTCAATTGTTCAATTTCACTATGTAGTTTAGGAATAGTTGGTCTGTCATCAATCTGCCGGGAAAAAAATAAAGAATAATTTAACCCCAATTCCATGGCCATCTGTCGGCCATGATAGATTTTTTTTAAACGTTAGTGTTCCACTCAAACCAAAGCATAGTGGGTAATTTGCATAATACCCGGTACTATGTAATTTGTAATTTATTACAATGGCAATAATCAAAATACTGTATTTGCTCAATTAGGAGTGCATACAAACCAAATCAAAGAAAGCTTAGAAAGAACTCCCATGTGCTGAGAGTATTGGAGACACATTAAATATAATTCGAAATTACTTAGCTGAAAAGTAATTATGCAAATCAGAAAATTAATATGACCAGATTTGAGAGTAAAACTAATGAGGTCTGCGCAATGTAACAGAAAATCTATGTCTCCAAGTTTAATTGAAATGTGATTAGAACCAAAAAATTATGAATTATTATGCTTATTAGGGAATTAATATGAACAGATTTTTACCCCAAACTAATTAGGTTTGAACATTGTCCTAGAGCATCTTTGTACTAAGTTTCATTGAAATGGAATAATTAGTACCGTGAAAACTCCAAAATTTCGACCCCTCTAAAAATTCGATCACCTATTTATTTGCCGGGTTTCGGTGTTTTATTTACCTCCAAATTTTCGACTCCACTAAAAATTGCCGACTCATTCTTATTCGAAAATTGCGACCAGTTTTAGTTTTCCCCCAAACGAAAAAAAAACCGATGTGAGCGTTCAAACGGGACCTTCCTCAAAGGCATGAATCCGGGTTTCTGATTGACTGAGAGATTTTTATTTTATTGGTAACGAAAATATATTCTAAATAAACGAAGTTTCAAATAAAAACGAACACAAAAACCTCGGCATGCTGCGTTTCTGAATTGTTGATTATTACTGTACTCAGTA